TTCGACTGATTTTCTTGATCTCGAAGAGGTCAGCACCACTAAGACATTGGGAGTACGGTGGAACGCTACGACGGATGAGTTTTATTTTGTTCCAACAGAGGTCACCATTCAGGCCAACTATTTGAAACGCGACGTCTTATCCCAGATCGCGAAATTGTTCGACCCAGCTGGGTGGCTCTCCCCATTTGTGGTTCAGGCCAAAATCCTGATGCAGGATATCTGGTTAGCCAGCGTCGAATGGGATGAGTTTCTTCCTGCAGAACTACTACATCGCTGGCATGATTTCCTTCGGAGCTACAGTTTCCTCCACCAAGTTCGCATCCCGCGGTGGGTACATTTTCAACCAGGTGTACAAGTCCAAATCCATGGTTTCTGCGATGCCTCCCAAAAGGCTTATGGCGCAGCGATTTACGTTCGCATCCAGCGTGATGGAATCATTTCATCAAATCTTCTAACGTCAAAGACCAAAGTCGCTCCGGTAAAAACCGTCTCGCTCCCGCGTCTAGAACTGTGTGGAGCCGTCCTTCTGTCAGACTTGTGGACTGCAATTCTGCCTCAGATTCCTTTCGGTCGTATAGAATCTTTTCTATGGACTGATTCCACTATTGTGACATCGGGAAGCGACCCATACGTTGCCATTTAGCATGCCCGGAGCAGGACATGCTTGAGCGGTTCTCCAAGCTCGATAAGGCACTACGAGTTTTCGCCTATGTTCAGCGCTTCATCCAGCGCTCGCAAAAACGACCTATTCCAGGCGAGCTGCAGCTATCCAACACAGAGATTTCCACGGCTGAGCGACTCCTAATTATTATAACACAGCGCAGATACTTTGCGCTTGAATATGCCTGCCTGAGCCAAAAGCGGCCAATTCCAGCATCCAGTTCTATTAAGAACATGAATCCTTTCCTTGATCCTCACGGCCTCATCAGGGCGTGTGGTCGGGTGACGACCTCCGAAAAATCTCAATAACTAGCCGTATCCTCACTCCGTAGTTTGCTGCTGTCGCTAGTTCTAAGTCATATTTTCGACTCCATACTAATTCGTTTTTTTGTATCCTACTCCAGATTATAAACAATGTTCCCACGTCTACGTAGCGCCGTCGAAATGGAGAGCAGACGTACACGAGGTACAAATTCCTACCGTTGCCGAGTCTGCCACGGAGTCCACCGCAACGGAGAGCACCACACACTGCTGCATATGCAGGAGCAGCAGCAGCTGTATTTACGCCGTTCGCGTCAGTTGACGCCGCCCTCTCGTCGCGCTCCAGCTTCTGCTCAACTCTCTTCGGCCTCTCCACGGCATTCGTCGGCCTCTCCACGAACCGCGGCATTCGCCACGCAGGGAGTTCCGACAGGGCCTTCACTGGCCACTTTGCTTCAGCGACACAGCGTGAACCTCCTCCCGACCGCTCTGGTGCGATTTGACACCGGGACGCGAGTGTTCGACACAGCAGCGCTCATCGACCCATGCACGCCTATGAGCTGCATTGACGCGTCGCTGGCAACTTCTTTGCGACTTGCGACGACAGCTGTGGGTGCTGAACAGATCTGTTCAGCCACCGTCGGCTCGAAAACGAACGCCCATGTCCGGCTCGACCTCGTTTTCAAGGTGGAGCCTCAAGTGCGCGTCCGCACTCCTAACCGACAGTTGGATGAGACTGTGCGGGACTATTTCAAGGACATCACCTTGGCTGATGAACGATTCTACCTTCCGGCTACGATCTCCGTCATCCTGGGTGCGGATGTGTACCCCAAAGTTATGCAGCCTGGGTTCCTGAAAGTGCAGGATGGATTGCCGGTGGCCCAAAGCACCGTATTTGGATGGGTCCTGTCCGGGGCCTGTCACACGCCGATGTGAGGAGCAGACTTTATTGCAACCCATAGTGATTGCAAGGGGGGCGGAATGTTCAGGTCAGGAGCTTTCGTTTCCCCCCGCGCGACTCCGAAGCGCTCCCGCTTCTGCAAAGCTCCTCAGCGCGCTCTCGCTCTCAGCTTGCGCTCTTGCGCAGCTTGCTCTCTCGCTCTTCCAGCGGAGGCTTTCGACTCAGGGCGATCGGCGGTTCTGATCTCTCACTCCAACTTGTAAATTAGTTCCTTGTACGACATCAAATAAAGAAGACCACGTCCACGGTCGTTTACCACTGAAGATAACCACGCCCCCGGGCCTCCTACTTTTTTCGTATTTTCTCTTCATTTTGGTGGTGATTTCTTTGGTGTTTCCGACTGCGGCGCGGGAGTGATTTGTTTGACTAATAATGCTTGTGCTTATCTGGAAACTGAAGGAAGACTTTCCCCCCCTAGCCGAACAGTCAGGTTGATGAAATTCAAAAGCAAGTCGGAAAATTAATCTCCGACGGGATTGTCGAACCATCTGTTTCTGAATATAATAGCCCTCTGTTACTTGTTCCTAAGAAATCATCCCCAGGGTCCAATTTAAAGAAATGGCGATTAGTAATTGACTATCGTCAGATTAATAAAAAATTACTATCTGATAAATTCCCATTACCTAGAATTGATGATATTTTGGATCAACTAGGTCGAGCTAAATACTTTTCATGCCTTGACTTAATGTCAGGATTCCATCAAATTGAACTAGAAAAAATTTCAAGAGATATAACGTCTTTTTCAACGAGCAATGGCTCATATCGATTCACGCGATTACCTTTCGGATTAAAAATAGCTCCAAATTCGTTTCAGAGAATGATGACTATTGCATTCTCTGGACTAGAACCTTCTCAATCATTCCTTTACATGGATGACTTAATAGTAATAGGTTGTTCCGAAAAACATATGCTTAAGAACTTAACAGATGTTTTTGAGAAATGCAGGAAATACAACCTAAAGTTACATCCAGAAAAATGTTCATTTTTTATGCATGAAGTGACTTTTCTAGGTCATAAATGCACAGATAAAGGAATACTTCCAGATGACAAGAAATATGACGTCATCAAGAATTACCCAGTCCCGCACGACGCGGACAGTGCTAGACGTTTCGTCGCGTTCTGTAACTATTACATACGTTTTATAAAAAATTTCGCCGACTATTCACGGCACATAACAAGATTATGTAAAAAGAATGTTCCTTTTAAATGGACAGATGATTGTGAAGATGCATTTCAGTATCTAAAAACAAAACTTATGGAACCTACCTTGTTACAATATCCAGATTTCACAAAAGAATTTTGCATAATAACAGATGCAAGTAAGCAAGCATGTGGAGCGGTTTTAACTCAAAACCATGATGGTCTCCAACTTCCCATTGCATACGCATCAAGAGCATTCACTAAAGGTGAAAGTAACTACTGAGCAGGAATTAGCTGCAATTCATTGGGCAATATTACATTTTCGACCGTATATTTATGGAAAACATTTCGTAATTAAAACGGATCACAGACCCCTTACATATTTATTTTCAATGACTAATCCAAGCTCTAAACTTACACGTATGAGGCTCGAACTAGAAGAATACGACTTTACAGTCGAGTATTTAAAGGGAAAAGACAATTATGTAGCTGATGCGTTATCGAGGATAACCATCAAGGAATTACAGAATATCACTGGATCTATACATAAAGTCACTACTAGAAATCAAAGTAGACAGAAATCCTGCGCAGGAAATCAACAAACAGAATTGCCTAGGCAATCTGAAGAAAAAGCTTCAAAGCCCAACGTATATGAAGTCATTAATAATGACGAAGTACGTAAAGTAGTGACCTTGCATGTAAATAATAACATGTGTTTATTCAAACACGGAAAGAAAATTACAGCAAGTTATGATGTTAGCGATTTGTATACTAATGGAACCTTTGCCTAGGTCAATTCTTCCAAAGGCTTGAAAAGCAGGCCGGTATTAACAAAATCAGCCAACTCAAGGTGGCACTGTGGGAAAATATCTTTGAACTAGTTTCAATTGATAATTTTAAGATAATGGGCAATAAACTATTGAAATTATTGAGAGTAGCGCTACTCAACCCGGTGACCAAAATAAACAATAAAAAAGAACAAGAAGCTATACTGTCTACATTCCATGATGATCCAATCCAAGGAGGTCACACAGGCATTACAAAAACCTTGGCCAAGGTCCAGAGACACTACTACTGGAAAAATATGTCCAAAGACATAAAAGAGTACATAAGGAAATGTCCAAAATGCCAAAAGTCCAAAACGACTAAAAATACCAAGACCCCTGTCTGGTTATGCAGCCCGCACCTGATGACCCAGCGGCTAAACAACAACAATACATTTGCTCTGCGTAGCAAAGCTTTACCTCTCCTCCTGCCTTCTGCATAACATAAACTTTATCACTCTCTCGCTCTATTTGCATAGCTGCCCTTGGCCGTCCGCTAACTGCAGCAGAAATTCTTTTGTCAGTTCGTCTCCGTTTGTCTTCACCTACGCCTGAAAACGATCAGCTTAAATATTTGCCTATAACCAGTTTCGGACCATTTCGGGTCATAAATATCCGCAGCGGCAATTCGGCTGGCCTGCGCTGATAATTGATAGAAAACTTCGTGGCTTAATAAATATTGCATATAATTTATAACGTTTTAAAACAAGTGCGTATTTTTTGGGTCAAAAAGAAATTGGACAATTCGACAGCTATTGAAAAAGCTCAATAGCTCAACATTTGGTGACCCCGACGTGATCTTGGCTAGTAAAAACATTAAACATTTCGGTTTAATAATTGTGCCAAGCGCGTAAACAATTTCGTTTAGTGCATTGCTTGTGGCTGTACTTTGCCGCGCCGCGCTAGGCAAACGTACATACATACATACACATATATGCACCGGTACTTTTGCGTGTACTCTTTGCTCTCGTTCTCCTGCTTGCTGTTCATTTGCCGTCGGTAACAGCTATTCGAATTCGCTTCCCGCCTATTTTGTGCAGTAACTCTGACAAAATACGTTCGCTTGTGTGCGGGCATCATTGCGGTACAAAGAAAAATCTGCAGTGCATGTCAAACTGTTGGCTGCAGTTTATATTGTGAGCTAATAAAATAAAATGTCGACCCCAGAAACTCCTCAGTTTTCGCCGCCCAATCGAGTTACGCTCTTTAAGCGTAGGGCAAACGCGATAGCTGCCCATGCTCAAAAAATTGCTTCTGGCCTTACTGCCGATAGGGTTAAGGCCGTTCCTGAGGAGGAGCTCACCCTGAAACTTGAGCTTATAAATAAAACCGAAGCCTCTTTCTCATTGGCTCATGATTCGTTGGAGGAACTCGATTATGAGGAAATTGGCAGCAAAGCGCGGGACGACTTTGAGGATTTGGTGTTCTCCATGAGATCGGTGGTGCTGCAAGAGCTGGGAAAGCGCAAATTCCAAGGAGTTCCGTGTTCAACCATGCATCCAGAGGTGGCCATGGAGGCCGCTGCGCCTGCTCCAAGAAGATCGTGCCTTCCTGAGCTTAAGTTGCCAACCTTCAGCGGCGGCTACACTGAGTATGCCGATTTTATTTCAATGTTCCTGACAATTATTGATAGGAATAGTGATCTTGCTCCAATTGAGAAGCTGCAGCACCTGAAATCATGCCTGAAAGGTCCAGCTTTAGATGCCGTTCGTTCGCTGGAGATCACTGACTCTAACTATGGAGTAGCGCTGGAATTACTTGACAATCGCTTCAATAATAAACGCCTTATTTTTCAGGCTCACATAACAGATATTTTTGGTTTGTCAAAGGTGGAAAGTGCATCAGCTGTGAAGCTGCGTGAGCTCTCCGATAAGCTCAATGCCAATCTTCGAGCGCTTCAGAGTTTGGGAACCTTGGAGGAGATCGCTGGTTGCATTCTTGTTCATACGCTGCTGCAAAAAGTTGACCCGACTACCCAGGCTAAATGGGAAGAGTCTGCCTCTCTGGACAAAATACCCACCTGCGCAGAATTTACTAAATTTCTGGAGAAGCGATGCCAGAAACTGGAGAATGTGGAGCATGCTGCTTTATCCAATGGTGGCAATTCGCAAGCTTCAAGGCCCAGGAGGTTCAGCAGTCATGGGAGAAGTTCGTTTGTCGCCACTAGCATCACAGCCTCGACCAGATTGTGCGTTATGTGCCAGGGTGCAAATCATGGCATTTATAATTGCGCTCAATTCTCCAGCCTTTCTCCTCAAGCTCGTCTGCGTGAAGCTAAACGGCTAGCCTTATGCCTAAACTGCCTCAAATCTGGACATCAATTGAGGAATTGTAGTTCGGGCTCCTGTCGAGCATGTGGATCTAAGCATCATAGCCTTCTACACTTTCCCGCACCGCCTGTAACAGAGCCCCCACAACCTGCTCCACCTAACGTGCCATCGTCGTCAAATGCTGTTCCAAATGTATCGTCAAACTTCTCGCTCGCTTCGTCGTCATCGCAATCCGCTGCTTTAGTCGCTCAGAATCTTGATACGGATTGTGTTTTGCTTGCCACTGCAGTCATCAGTGTGCAAAATCGCTCTGGTTCGTGGGTTCCTTGCCGCGCCTTGCTCGACTCGGGATCTCAGTTGCATATCATTACTTCTCGCCTCGCACACTCGCTTCAGTTGCCGAAAGTCAAATCCACGGCCACTGTATCTGGACTTGGAGACTCTAAATTTTGCTCGGATGGTTTTTCGGTAAATATTACTCTAAAGTCTCAAGCTTCAGATTTCGTCTCCAGTATCTCGGCTTTGGTTGCGCCTGCCATCACGGACGACCAGCCTAGCTTCACCGTCAGCCCAGAGGACTGGAACATACCTTCCAACATTCGCCTGGCCGATCCACAGTTCTTCAGATCACAAAGAATTGACTTATTAATTGGAGCAAGTCTATTCTTTGAGCTGCTATGCGTTGGCCAAATGAAGTTGTCTGATGGGCTCCCGTTGTTGCAAAAAACTCGATTGGGATGGGTTGTCACTGGCGGAGGATCAGCGCCACGCCAGTCAGCGGCCTTGGCGGTCCAAGCTACTGCAGGGACGTTAGTCGGAGATGACGCTCGTCTGGAGAGCGTTGTGCGGAAGTTTTGGGAAGTTGAAAACGTTGGAGAGTCTGGATCTCAACGTACCAAAGAGGAACTCGATTGTGAAGCTCATTTCAACGCCAACTTTACTCGGCTGCCGTCAGGAGAATACTCGGTTCGCCTGCCAACCAAGCATAGTGTTGAAATCCTGGGAGATTCATATCAACAAGCTTATCGTCGTTTCGTTAACCTGGAGAACAAACTGGATCGTCATCCTCATCTCAAAGCTCAGTACTCGGCATTTATTCGTGAGTACCTCGATCTGACTCATATGTCTCTTGTGGATTTAGACTCACGGAATTTATGCAAGTTTTATTTGCCGCATCACTGCGTCATTAAAGAGGATAGCACAACTACGAAGCTGCGTGTTGTCTTTGATGGGTCTGCCAAATCATCGTCTGGATACTCATTGAATGAGTTGCTCATGGCAGGGCCCACCTTGCAGCCGAGATTGTTCAACACATTGTTGCAGTTTCGCACATTTCCTGTCGCCCTAACCGGCGATATTTGCAAAATGTATAGATGCGTTCGGATTGCTGAGCCGGATAGTTACTTGCAGTGCATTTTGTGGCGTGATTCACGGCAAGAGGAAATTCGTGTTTATAGGCTGGACACTGTCACCTATGGAACTAAACCTGCCTCGTTTCTGTCAGTTCGAGCCATGCATCAGTTGGCAGAAGATGAGAAGGCATCGTTTCCCCTTGGCGCCAAAATACTTTTGCGAGACTTCTACGTGGGTGATCTCATCACAGGAGGCAACTCGACACAAGACGTCTTGGAGATCATGCGGCAGACCACTGGACTTCTCGAAAGGGGCAATTTCAAGTTGAGAAAATGGTGCTCAAACGATCCTGCTTTGCTGCAGCAAATCCCAGAGGCCGAAAGGGATTCATTCTTGAAGTTCGACGATGGCAGCGACATTACAAAAACGCTTGGACTTGCTTGGGATTCGTCGTCGGACGTTTTGCTGTTCTCCACATCGCCAATGAAAATTATTGCCAAACCAACCAAGCGCTCAGTCTTGTCTACGATCGCTTGCTTTTATGATCCTCTAGGTCTTATTTGTCCTGTAATTACTAAAGCCAAAATATTTTTACAGAAGATCTGGAGAGAGAGACTCGACTGGGACGAAAGCTTGCCTGCAGCGCTTAATTCATCGTGGCTAAGTTTGTCGGCCAATATTTGTGAGACGCAAAAGCTCCAGTTTCCTCGACTAGCACTGAACCCAAACAACGTGATCGAAGTCCACGGATTCAGTGATGCCAGTATTGACGCATACGGAGGCTGCATTTACGTCGTGTCCATGGAGGATGACCGAAGGATTGCCCATCTCCTCTGCGCTAAATCTCGTGTGGCGCCACTGAAGACTCTCACGGTCCCTAAGCTGGAGTTGTCTGCTGCCGTGCTGCTGGCTCAACTCATTCAAGAAGTACAACAAATGGGGCTATTCTCGTGCTCCTACTACTGCTGGTCGGATTCTGCAGTTGTTTTGTCCTGGATTAGAGATGAGTCGTCACGTTTTCAAATATTTACTGCTAACCGAATCTCTTTAATTCAGTCTACTACAATTGGAATGGAATGGCGCTACGTCCCTACGAGCTGCAATCCAGCAGATATCCTGTCAAGAGGTGCTCTTCCCAGTGAACTGGTAGCTTCTAACCTATGGGCTCATGGACCTGACTATCTTCAAAAGGAAAAATCTCAATGGCCAGAGTCCTGCCTTGCAGTGAAGACTCTTCCTGACCTTAAAAGGATTGCTTTGGTTGGCATCTCGGCAGCTGCTGATGTATCCTTGTACTGCAAATTCTTCAACTCGTGGGAAAAATTAAAGCATGTCTTCGGCTACATCTACAAGTTTCGCCATCGTATCAGGCAACCAGGTCTCACTTCGGAACATGTTCGCTGTGGCACCCAAATGCTCATTCGCTCCATTCAGAGGGTTCATCTTAATGACGAGTATCATTGCCTGCTTCGAGGACGGCCAATAAAGGCCTCCAGCTCCATCGCATCGCTCTCGCCCATTATCGACGAACTTGGGCTTTTACGTGTTGGCGGTCGACTGAAAAACTCTGCTCTGGACTATGAGGCACGCCATCCACTGATATTACCTCGTCAGCATCCTGTAACCCGCGCAATAATCCTGCATTTTCATCGGCGCAACCTACACTCTGGACCTCGCTCCCTGCTCGCTTCAATCCGGCAGCAGTTTTGGCCAATTGGTGGCCGCAAGACGGTTGCGAGTGCTGTGAGCAAATGCATAATTTGTTTTCGGGCCAAGCCACATGTTGCTGGCCACATTATGGCGGATCTTCCGGAGGACCGCGTCAGCGCATCTTACGCCTTCCAGGTGACTGGACTGGATTTTTGTGGCCCTTTCTATCACAAGTCGGAAGTTCGGAATAAGGCACCCATCAAGTGCTACGTCTGCATTTTTATCTGCTTTTCCACAAAGGCTGTGCACCTCGAGCTGGTCCAGGATCTCTCCACTTCAGCGTTTCTTAGCGCATTGAGGCGCTTTATATTGATTCGTGGCAAGCCTGCCCGCATATGGTCGGACAATGCGACTAATTTTGTAGGCGCTAAGAACGAGTTGGCTGATCTAAAGCGATTGTTCCTGAATGCCAGCCACCAAACCGCAATAGATGATTTCTGCTTGACTGACAGTATCGAATGGCGATTTATTCCTCCTCGCTCACCCCACTTTGGAGGTCTATGGGAGGCTGTGAAGACTGCGAAGTACCACTTCTACCGATCTGTTGGACCTGCGATACTGCCCGCTGATGACCTGCGCACTCTCGTTTGCCACATCGCGGCAATCATTAATTCTCGTCCTTTAGTCTCACTTTCAGAACACCCTGGCGATCTTGATGTGTTGACACCGGCGCACTTCTTGGGTACTGCTCCTCTGGCCTTGTTTCCTGAGCCTGACTACACTAATTTGAACCTCAATCGGTTGGATCGCTGGCAGAAAATTTCGTTTTACCAGCAACTGTTCTGGTCCCGCTGGAAACAAGAGTACCTGACGCTCCTTCAGCAGCGCTCCAAGTGGCGCACACAGAAGACGGATGTTCAACTCGGTGATGTCGTTCTGGTTAAGGACGAAAACCTGCCCTCCCTCAAGTGGCCACTAGCTCGAGTGGTCAACCTCGTCGCTGGATCCGACAATGTGGCTCGAGTCGCTGTGCTGAAGACCGCCACTGGCCTCATCAATCGCGCAGTTGCTAAGCTGTGTGTGCTGCCGAAGCAGGATGAAGTTGAAAGCCCTTGTCTTCCAACGGGGGGAGAATGTCTGGTTATGCAGCCCGCACCTGATGACCCAGCGGCTAAACAACAACAATACATTTGCTCTGCGTAGCAAAGCTTTACCTCTCCTCCTGCCTTCTGCATAACATAAACTTTATCACTCTCTCGCTCTATTTGCATAGCTGCCCTTGGCCGTCCGCTAACTGCAGCAGAAATTCTTTTGTCAGTTCGTCTCCGTTTGTCTTCACCTACGCCTGAAAACGATCAGCTTAAATATTTGCCTATAACCAGTTTCGGACCATTTCGGGTCATAAATATCCGCAGCGGCAATTCGGCTGGCCTGCGCTGATAATTGATAGAAAACTTCGTGGCTTAATAAATATTGCATATAATTTATAACGTTTTAAAACAAGTGCGTATTTTTTGGGTCAAAAAGAAATTGGACAATTCGACAGCTATTGAAAAAGCTCAATAGCTCAACAACCCCGTTAACAATAACAGAAACTCCGCAAAGAGCTTTCGATAGGGTAATTGTGGATACAATAGGTCCACTACCAAAATCTAATAATGGAAATGAATACGCAGTAACATTAATATGCGATTTGACTAAGTATTTGGTAGCAATACCCATACATAATAAAAGTGCAAACACAGTAGCGAAAGCTATATTCGAAAATTTTATTCTCAAGTACGGTCCAATGAAGACGTTCATTACGGACATGGGAACGGAATATAAAAATTCGATAATTGAAGACTTATGTAAATACCTAAATATCAAAAACATAACTTCTACTGCACACCATCACCAGACCGTCGGAACAGTGGAACGAAGCCACAGAGTTCATACGCTCATATATCTCGGTCGATAAAACAGATTGGGATACATGGCTACAATACTTCGTATATTGTTTCAATACAACTCCCTCTATGGCACATGATTATTGTCCATATGAGTTAGTTTTTGGTAAATCTTCAAATTTGCCAAAACACTTTAATAGCATAGATAGAATAGACCCATTATATAATATAGAAGACTATGCTAAGGAATCTAAATTTAGATTGGAGCAGGCATACAAGAGAGCTAGAATAATGCTAGACATTAATAAACAAAAACAAAAACATAGGTACGACAAAAATAGTTTAGACTTTGAATTAAAAATAGGAGACCAGGTCATCAGTGTGCAAAATCGCTCTGGTTCGTGGGTTCCTTGCCGCGCCTTGCTCGACTCGGGATCTCAGTTGCATATCATTACTTCTCGCCTCGCACACTCGCTTCAGTTGCCGAAAGTCAAATCCACGGCCACTGTATCTGGACTTGGAGACTCTAAATTTTGCTCGGATGGTTTTTCGGTAAATATTACTCTAAAGTCTCAAGCTTCAGATTTCGTCTCCAGTATCTCGGCTTTGGTTGCGCCTGCCATCACGGACGACCAGCCTAGCTTCACCGTCAGCCCAGAGGACTGGAACATACCTTCCAACATTCGCCTGGCCGATCCACAGTTCTTCAGATCACAAAGAATTGACTTATTAATTGGAGCAAGTCTATTCTTTGAGCTGCTATGCGTTGGCCAAATTAAGTTGTCTGATGGGCTCCCGTTGTTGCAAAAAACTCGATTGGGATGGGTTGTCACTGGCGGAGGATCAGCGCCACGCCAGTCAGCGGCCTTGGCGGTCCAAGCTACTGCAGGGACGTTAGTCGGAGATGACGCTCGTCTGGAGAGCGTTGTGCGGAAGTTTTGGGAAGTTGAAAACGTTGGAGAGTCTGGATCTCAACGTACCAAAGAGGAACTCGATTGTGAAGCTCATTTCAACGCCAACTTTACTCGGCTGCCGTCAGGAGAATACTCGGTTCGCCTGCCAACCAAGCATAGTGTTGAAATCCTGGGAGATTCATATCAACAAGCTTATCGTCGTTTCGTTAACCTGGAGAACAAACTGGATCGTCATCCTCATCTCAAAGCTCAGTACTCGGCATTTATTCGTGAGTACCTCGATCTGACTCATATGTCTCTTGTGGATTTAGACTCACGGAATTTATGCAAGTTTTATTTGCCGCATCACTGCGTCATTAAAGAGGATAGCACAACTACGAAGCTGCGTGTTGTCTTTGATGGGTCTGCCAAATCATCGTCTGGATACTCATTGAATGAGTTGCTCATGGCAGGGCCCACCTTGCAGCCGAGATTGTTCAACACATTGTTGCAGTTTCGCACATTTCCTGTCGCCCTAACCGGCGATATTTGCAAAATGTATAGATGCGTTCGGATTGCTGAGCCGGATAGTTACTTGCAGTGCATTTTGTGGCGTGATTCACGGCAAGAGGAAATTCGTGTTTATAGGCTGGACACTGTCACCTATGGAACTAAACCTGCCTCGTTTCTGTCAGTTCGAGCCATGCATCAGTTGGCAGAAGATGAGAAGGCATCGTTTCCCCTTGGCGCCAAAATACTTTTGCGAGACTTCTACGTGGATGATCTCATCACAGGAGGCAACTCGACACAAGACGTCTTGGAGATCATGCGGCAGACCACTGGACTTCTCGAAAGGGGCAATTTCAAGTTGAGAAAATGGTGCTCAAACGATCCTGCTTTGCTGCAGCAAATCCCAGAGGCCGAAAGGGATTCATTCTTGAAGTTCGACGATGGCAGCGACATTACAAAAACGCTTGGACTTGCTTGGGATTCGTCGTCGGACGTTTTGCTGTTCTCCACATCGCCAATGAAAATTATTGCCAAACCAACCAAGCGCTCAGTCTTGTCTACGATCGCTTGCTTTTATGATCCTCTAGGTCTTATTTGTCCTGTAATTACTAAAGCCAAAATATTTTTACAGAAGATCTGGAGAGAGAGACTCGACTGGGACGAAAGCTTGCCTGCAGCGCTTAATTCATCGTGGCTAAGTTTGTCGGCCAATATTTGTGAGACGCAAAAGCTCCAGTTTCCTCGACTAGCACTGAACCCAAACAACGTGATCGAAGTCCACGGATTCAGTGATGCCAGTATTGACGCATACGGAGGCTGCATTTACGTCGTGTCCATGGAGGATGACCGAAGGATTGCCCATCTCCTCTGCGCTAAATCTCGTGTGGCGCCACTGAAGACTCTCACGGTCCCTAAGCTGGAGTTGTCTGCTGCCGTGCTGCTGGCTCAACTCATTCAAGAAGTACAACAAATGGGGCTATTCTCGTGCTCCTACTACTGCTGGTCGGATTCTGCAGTTGTTTTGTCCTGGATTAGAGATGAGTCGTCACGTTTTCAAATATTTACTGCTAACCGAATCTCTTTAATTCAGTCTACTACAATTGGAATGGAATGGCGCTACGTCCCTACGAGCTGCAATCCAGCAGATATCCTGTCAAGAGGTGCTCTTCCCAGTGAACTGGTAGCTTCTAACCTATGGGCTCATGGACCTGACTATCTTCAAAAGGAAAAATCTCAATGGCCAGAGTCCTGCCTTGCAGTGAAGACTCTTCCTGACCTTAAAAGGATTGCTTTGGTTGGCATCTCGGCAGCTGCTGATGTATCCTTGTACTGCAAATTCTTCAACTCGTGGGAAAAATTAAAGCATGTCTTCGGCTACATCTACAAGTTTCGCCATCGTATCAGGCAACCAGGTCTCACTTCGGAACATGTTCGCTGTGGCACCCAAATGCTCATTCGCTCCATTCAGAGGGTTCATCTTAATGACGAGTATCATTGCCTGCTTCGAGGACGGCCAATAAAGGCCTCCAGCTCCATCGCATCGCTCTCGCCCATTATCGACGAACTTGGGCTTTTACGTGTTGGCGGTCGACTGAAAAACTCTGCTCTGGACTATGAGGCACGCCATCCACTGATATTACCTCGTCAGCATCCTGTAACCCGCGCAATAATCCTGCATTTTCATCGGCGCAACCTACACTCTGGACCTCGCTCCCTGCTCGCTTCAATCCGGCAGCAGTTTTGGCCAATTGGTGGCCGCAAGACGGTTGCGAGTGCTGTGAGCAAATGCATAATTTGTTTTCGGGCCAAGCCACATGTTGCTGGCCACATTATGGCGGATCTTCCGGAGGACCGCGTCAGCGCATCTTACGCCTTCCAGGTGACTGGACTGGATTTTTGTGGCCCTTTCTATCACAAGTCGGAAGTTCGGAATAAGGCACCCATCAAGTGCTACGTCTGCATTTTTATCTGCTTTTCCACAAAGGCTGTGCACCTCGAGCTGGTCCAGGATCTCTCCACTTCAGCGTTTCTTAGCGCATTGAGGCGCTTTATATTGATTCGTGGCAAGCCTGCCCGCATATGGTCGGACAATGCGACTAATTTTGTAGGCGCTAAGAACGAGTTGGCTGATCTAAAGCGATTGTTCCTGAATGCCAGCCACCAAACCGCAATAGATGAATTCTGCTTGACTGACAGTATCGAATGGCGATTTATTCCTCCTCGCTCACCCCACTTTGGAGGTCTATGGGAGGCGGCTGTGAAGACTGCGAAGTACCACTTCTACCGATCTGTTGGACCTGCGATACTGCCCGCTGATGACCTGCGCACTCTCGTTTGCCACATCGCGGCAATCATTAATTCTCGTCCTTTAGTCTCACTTTCAGAACACCCTGGCGATCTTGATGTGTTGACACCGGCGCACTTCTTGGGTACTGCTCCTCTGGCCTTGTTTCCTGAGCCTGACTACACTAATTTGAACCTCAATCGGTTGGATCGCTGGCAGAAAATTTCGTTTTACCAGCAACTGTTCTGGTCCCGCTGGAAACAAGAGTACCTGACGCTCCTTCAGCAGCGCTCCAAGTGGCGCACACAGAAGACGGATGTTCAACTCGGTGATGTCGTTCTGGTTAAGGACGAAAACCTGCCCTCCCTCAAGTGGCCACTAGCTCGAGTGGTCAACCTCGTCGCTGGATCCGACAATGTGGCTCGAGTCGCTGTGCTGAAGACCGCCACTGGCCTCATCAATCGCGCAGTTGCTAAGCTGTGTGTGCTGCCGAAGCAGGATGAAGTTGAAAGCCCTTGTCTTCCAACGGGGGAGAATGTCTGGTTATGCAGCCCGCACCTGATGACCCAGCGGCTAAACAACAACAATACATTTGCTCTGCGTAGCAAAGCTTTACCTCTCCTCCTG